CATAATATTATTCCAATTTTTTTCACTTTTCTGCAGGGAAAGCTTAAAATCTATGCAAAACTCGGCTTTTTTATTAACAAATTGTGAAGGTGGAAAATATGGCAGTTTGGGTGTGTTCAATTATCTTGTGTGGGGAAATGTGAAAAGGTGAGTTCAGTTGGGGAAGAGATTTCAAAAACTTCTTTGTTATTCAATTAAGAGTACGATTTTGAATTAAAACAAAAGGAGTTTATGGAAAATTGACTAAGCTTCATTAATTTGCGTTAACTAAATTATTATTCGTTTTGTGTTGACACATTTATATCAAATGAAATCAACTCTCATAGTTCGTTTCATGAGTATTCATTACATATATCAATGCTACCAAATAGTTCGTGCAACCCTGTTGTCAATTTTGTTTGTTTTCACAAGTGTCCGGTGTTGCTTCGCGAGGCTCCCTCATTTTTGCTAGTGAAATTTATATTTCGATTTGTGTTTCATTCAAATTAGCTAAGTTAAATCGGGCGAGATTAGATAAGAATCGGGTAAAAATATTGGGCTTTACTTCAGCTAACATCGTGAGTATTACCATTACACATTTGTTCCAAAGTATGTGAAAATAGCAAAAAGTGTCGCGCCAAAAAGAACGCCTTTCTGTGCTGCCATCTAGTTTCATTTATAAAGTTAGTAGAGGTAATCCTGTACACTCAAGGCACGACCGCACTAACCGGCCGTCTTCACGTGCTGGAAAATCTCGTTTGCGTGACGACGCATGCAAGAAACCGCACGTGTAGACCGCAAAAAGTACGAAGCATGCTTATTCTCGCATACTTAAGTATCAACTTAAAATTTAGTCTCGTAACTAGGAAGAATTGTTTTATTAAATTAAGGAAAAAAGACGAAATATGTAAAAAATAAGAGCTCAGGGCAGAGCGTGATTTTGATAATTTGAATTTGAAGATGAAATTAAATGCGTATTACAATTCGAATAAGGCTACATCACAATTTTATAATTGGAATGATTTACATATGTATATAAATGCTCAAATAATTGGTAAATTTCATGCTTGTTCTTTTAAAGCAAATTAGTGCATAACAATTAGATATGTGTTTGTATGTTTCACCGCATGCTTTCGATAAACATTGACTTCACATCATTGCGGTAGTTCTGGCTATTTCACGCAATTAACAAGAAACTTATAGCTTATTCTTTTGCATAAGCATGCAATGAAAGTAAAAATTACATAAACGGATGATCAAAGATGACATTAGTTAATAAAAATGTAATTTTTCCAAAATGTCGTAACGAAAAATCGATACATTTTCACACTCACAACAATGTTAAAAATTAATTTTTTTTAAATATGTGTTTCTTGTTTCGCTTCATAAAACTGTTATGGTAATAAATTTTTCTTAGTTCACTTGTTCATACAGTTAAATTGTTCATATNTCGTAACGAAAAATCGATACATTTTCACACTCACAACAATGTTAAAAATTAATTTTTTTTAAATATGTGTTTCTTGTTTCGCTTCATAAAACTGTTATGGTAATAAATTTTTCTTAGTTCACTTGTTCATACAGTTAAATTGTTCATATGATAGTACCGTTTCAACCTTGATAAAAACATTGCAAGGTAGAACCGTTCTCTCAATTTGTCGGCCATGATTTTTTTGCCAGCATTTTAAAATCATATAAAATTGAAAATAAAAAATTGAAATTGTTCGAAATTGTTTTTGCTTGAGATTGAAAATGAAAATGTGTATGTGAGTCTGTGAGTAAATTTAAAAATTAAATTGTTTGGAAACGTCAAGAATTTTAAACGTAACTCTCAGCGGTTCTACCTTACTATATTTTTTTCATGGTTTCAACGGTACGCTTTAACATTTCCATTTAATCGCAATTTTATTTCTTTATGCCCACGTGTATTACTTTACCTATGTAATTTTTATTTAATAGTATTATCTCCCATTGATTCAAAACTTTCAGTTATATTTAATGAAGCTTAATTTAAAGTTGTATGTTATTTTAAATGAAACGACATCATTTTGGTGTGTATTTTAATCTAATATTTGCTTTATAAAAACTCGACAGGTCAGCACGACCATACTCGTCGAGGAGCCATTTTATTTATGTTTTGAACTGTAAAATGCGTTCAAACCACGGCCGTGCACTGAAAAACTGGTCCTTAGTGCGGTATGCTCCATAATGGGGAATTTACATGATTCAACTTTCACAGGCGATTTGTTCAATCAAAAGTGGAACGAAAGTAGGCAGCCGACCAATTTCATTGAAAGCGAGTAGTTGAAAGACCGTTTACACCAGACGATTGTTGCTTTCAAGTAAAAGTTGCCTGAAAAATCGCCCCATGAAAATTCCCCATTATGGAGACAGCAAGTAACGCCTACCCCACGTCTCCACCTTCTGCAGGCAGAAATGTGAGGTGAAAGCCGTAATTTTCCACTGCTAAGCCATATCTATCTTGCCGAATTTCTTACCATCGCCGTCTTAACATCGGCTGTCATTTCGTAGTTTGACAACTCAGTTTTCATTTTACCGCGCCATTAAATTAATTTAAAAATTTCTTTAAAAATGCGTTCTTGTCGAGACAATTAAAATTATATAGCCTGATGAATAAAACATTAAACTGATATCAACCGGGACATATAAAATGTTTATAAATTAAATGTCGTGTCATTAATTTTTTGATGAGAATGCAACCATGTTCTACTCAGCTGTTGTCTTTGTTTTCACTTTAATCGCAAAACTTTTTTGCTGGGTGCTTTGTGTGGATTTGTGTGTATTACGTCGAATCGAGAAACTGAATTTATTTTTACTTTTATTTACCTTGATTCAAAGAGTTTTATTTTTATAATCAAACCATATTACTGATAACAGTGTACAAGTAAGACCCAAACATCTGACTTTCATTTCTATCGAAGGGATTTTCTAAAATATATTTTGCGTTTCAGTTTGCGACGCGAGAAATTATAAACGATACACAAACGCACAAAGTAACAAAAAAAAAAATTAATAAATAAAAAATTGGTTTGAAGAAACGAAGTTCAGGGGCAAAGGAGCTTCTTTTGGGCACAAAGTAAATGAAAAACTTTTAGGCGTGCCAGTGTCGAGGGCCATACAAATTTTCAACTGTATTGATCTCATTTGCCAAATCCAGGACTTTAGACAACAAATTAGTGTGCACCATTGCAAAGTTTCAACACCTGCAGTCTTAAAATGTTGGATTTAGAAATCGTACCAGAGTTGTCGCTTGGGTGTGATGCTTGGGAATTTGTCTTGGGCATGCACTTTTCGCAAGCAATAGCGATTATACAATCTCAGGTGGGAATTATTAAAGGTGTGCAAGTACTCTACTCTGATACGAACCCTCTTGGTGTGGATATCATAATAAACTTGCCGCAAGATGGTGTTCGCTTGATTTTTGATCCCGTTGTACAACGTTTAAAGACCATTGAAGTATTCAATATGAAGTTGGTAAAACTGAAGTACGGTGGAGTACACTTCAATTCCCCCGAGGTGCTGCCTTCCATTGAACAAATTGAGCATTCCTTTGGAGCTACTCATCCAGGAGTATACGATGCAGCGAAACAACTATTTGCGTTGCACTTTCGTGGCTTGAGCTTCTTCTTCCCCGTTGATAGCAAGTTACAAGAAGGATATGCACATGGCTTAGGATCTCTGATTTTCTTAAGTGGAGCATCGCCTGTGGTTTCGAAAATGTCACTCTACTCCGGTAGTAACGTTTCTGAGACACGGGCTCCTCCGCTTCCACTCTCTTGTTACCATCGGCAAATCTATCTAGATTCAGTAACTGTCTTGCGTACGGCAAATGGTTATACCAAGGGTCTAAAACTGAAGCTCTTCACTGAGG